CTGCTGAACAAGCTCCATTAACTCATCAAATGGGGCATCCTCACTCTGAAATCATATGATAAATCACGTTAGTTAGGATCACACGAACTCCTGAACATAGATGATGTAGTATAAGGTAGGACTTGACTAAAACAGAGACCTTCCTTGCAATAACTCTTAGATGACCAAAAAGGATCCAGGCCAGAGCTACAAGGGATCGATGTATCTTACATATCCGAGAGAGAGAGTTTCCGCTCATACTCTATAACAGATGTGATACCTAATTACCATTTCACTAGGAAAGCTGCACCGTAAATGCTATTGCTTGCCCTACTTTTACCATATTGGCAAAATTTTTCAAGAACATATAAACTTGACCTATTTACATGAGACAATATGAAAAAGACCACATTCTTGAACATAACGTAAGGGACCCCAGATGCAAAATGAAAAACTTCAATTATGCCAATTGTCCTAATGAATAAACCTGCATTAATAAGTCAACTAGAATAGAAGCTCTAACCTGCCGTTTGGCATATTCCTGTGCAAATGCTATTGCTTGCCCTACTTTTACCATATTGGCAAAATTTTTCAAGAACGTATAAACTTGATCTATGTACATGAGACAATACAAAAAAGACAACATTCTTGAACATAATGTAAGGGACCCCAGATGCAAAATGAAAAACTTCAATTATGCCAATTGTCCTAATGAATAAACCTGCATTAATAAGTCAACTAGAATAGAAGCTCTAACCTGCCGTTTGGCATATTCCTGTGCAATTTCTCCAGCCAGATTCCTACAAGAAGTATATGATCATCCATTAACCAAATTACTTTAAAAGAATTGTAACTACAACATTCTGTAAGCAACATCAACTACAGAAAATCACAAGAAATCAGCACAAAATGCAAGATAAGTATCTACCATAAAAGTTCTTTTACTGTTTCTTTTTTCTTTTGCTGGTATGCAGGGTTGTGATCAAAAAATTTGTAAATAATACAGGCATCCTTTTAGTCGTTGAGTCAGTATAAAACATCATGATCCAGTCTAATGCTCGATAGAAGGCTACATGAAAAGCTTTTCAAATGAAAATATAAAAGTACAGAACCATTTTACCCTACCTGAAGCATATTGTCTGTATGCTTGCACATCCAGACATAAACAAGCACTTAAATATTATTAAAAGCTCAAGACTCAATCAATGTAATTAAAATACCACCTAAAAAAGAGAGTAACTAAACAAAACAAAGCGAGCAAGGAACCTATTCAAAACTAAAATCACAATTAGAGTTACACATGAGTCAGATCTCTCTTCAATCATACAGCAGTAGCAAGAGATGTTTCAGAAGGCCACACAGAAACTAACTTTACTATAATGCATTTGCTATAACCAATAAACAGACATACGTGCTCACCTAACATACTCATGTCCCCATGAACCAATATCACCATCGGAACCCAACAGTCTATACTTCAGGCTCTCCTGGAACAACATTAACCAATTTGTTATGATAATAAAATGGTTAAATAAGAAAAATCTGCAATCCGTGCAGATAGACAAAAAGAGACCAACACAAGGATACCCATGTGCTCCATCAGAAAATACACAGGATTTAGACATATTCCCTTGATACACAGTAAAATTCATTAAAAAGGCACAAGTCAAAGGTATGGATGGTCTGCCCATGGATTGTAAAGAAACAAAACATACCCTTTCTCCTTCAGCAGACATTGTCAAGGCTAAAACAGAAAGGATATCTGCTAAAAGTTTCTGGAAGAGGAAAAGATGTAAATGAAATGAGTTAGTTTTGCAAGGATAAAAACTAACACAATTTCCCCGCTAAAAGCATAATACCCACCTTCAAATCTGAATCCACCATGCTTTCATAATATGCTTTTAATGTTCCATAATGAGGACGCAAGAACTTTAGTGGCTTTGGGACTGATGTCATAGAGCTTGTTGCATTCCGAATTTCTTGCCTACCATGAATAGAAATGTATAACTTGGTTAGAAAACGCTAGACAGCTCAATCACCAGAAGGAAGGTTATCTGCATCAACAGGCTAACAGCTGGAAAATTCAGCAACCCAGAAAAGTCCACTCGAGTTAGCAGGATAAGAAATAAAGTTCAGGCATTTCAAGCAATCAACGAGACAATCTGCAATAGGCGACCCTTTACCATTAGTTGTGCAAAAATTCAAAAAACCCTGAGTTTCATCCATCCTGACAATACTACCAATGCACCAATCTTTGATAGGTTCGAATTTCAGGAAAAAGGCACTAAGAAGCACTATGCATCCACAAGAATACAAGTAAGCTAGGGAAAAAAACTATTGTTATGAAACAAATATCATTGTGCATACAGAAAACCTACATAAACCCGTGTACCTCATGCTCTCGAGGGCAACTTTCTGCAACCCCGGGTCTGAATCCTGTACCCTCTCCACATACAACTCTAGCTGCAGCTTCAGTGCCAAATCTTCCTCGGACTTGATGAATCAAAAGCATAAACAGATAAGCATATGCACCAATAAAAGCCATCCAATTATAAAAACTCTCTTCAGAGAGCACAATGCTCCCATCGTTTGCACAAGCTTTTCACCAATAACGGCAAAGCAAGCTGAATCTAAATGCCACGAAACAATTAATACTACTCACTTATCCAAAAAAATAAATAAACAAATTAAACCACCCATAAACGTATCGCACTTGAAAAAGATTACAAGAATCACTCAATATCAAGCTCAGCATACTTACTATCCCCCATTTTGAGTTTAAAAATAAAAATAAAAAGACTCGTAATTTTTCAATAAACCGCAAAAATAAACTTTGTCCGATAACTGGACATCATAATTCCTAGTTCAAACAATTCAGCACTAATTATACAAATTACTCACAAGATCTTCGTCTTTCTTGTCATCCTTCTTCTTCAAGTCTTTTGAAGGAACCTTGAGTGACGCTTCATCCTTAGTGGCGCCGGCGCTGCTGCCGCCGGTACTATTCGGATCTTGAGCCGGAGCCATAGATTATCCGGTTCAGTAAAACCCTAGAACAATTTTATTAATTCTCAACAAATAAATACAATCTTCTGGCGAAAATTTTCTCTTTATTTTGAAGAACAAAGAAGTTAAACCCGGAATATTATAAGTAGAGCGGAGTTTTTGGGAATTAGTAGATTTCCTTTTCTACAAGCAAAGTCTAATCATCTTTTCTCTCATGTTTTTTTTTTTAATTTTAAAAGCCCGGTTTTTACAAAGCTGTTTGTGGAATCTGTGATTTTGAGTGGCCCAGTACCGTATTGGATTAGGCTGCGACTAATCGAACATCTGGGTTTCTGGCCCATGTACAAAAAGTTAACGGACGAAATTCTGGGCCTCTGGATGACCTCAGATTTCAACATTTTTTATGTGCCTGATGGCCTCGTCATAATTTATGGAAGTAAGTTTAGTGTTTATTTTATTTTATTTTATTTTAGTGTATTCGAGATTGTGTGTTCTTAAAGTTGTTTTTGGAGTTATTTTTTTGAATTTGTTAATGTAGATCCCATGACCAAAAATAGTTTGTGGAAAAAAAATTAAATCCAAATAATGCCTATATAAAATATAATTCACCAACAATACACTGGATAAAAATTATTTCGAACTTTCAATTTTAACATATTTATCAAACGTGAGAAGATACGGAGTGTGTATCTACTAGATTGGAGATCATGTGAAATATGTAGTGTAGCATTTATTATACTGTGATACACGCAAGATAAAAAAGGTAGTTTGGAAGATTAAAAAGTTGGTTGAAAAATGTGTTTGTACTGTAAGCAAATTTTTTTATTTTTTTTTTTTGTAAATAATGTGATATCCAAAGTTTAGATAGGAGATCATTTGAAAAAAAAAATTATTTAAAATAATACTGTGACACTTTTTGTGATTCGATATATGTGAATAAAAAGATAGCTGAATATATAAAAAATTAGTTGAAAAATGTGTTTATGATACAAGTCAAATAATATTGGAAATAAATGTTCATATCCAAACAGACCCAGTCGATCCTGATTGGGAAAAAAAATGTACATTTCATATGACAAGCCTTAAATCTATTTTAACAACACGTGTAGGGCTTATAAAAAAATATACTAAGTTGATATTATGTTCAAGTTGATTTACATTCTGAACGTGAATATATTTTGTTAAAATGCACGAAATCATTCCCAGACCATTACACTAGTAATCATCCCTGTCTTATGTCTATTTTTTACTACATAAAAGCACATATTCACATTTACTTTTCCTTGCATCTAGACTCTTTTTCAAGTTAATCTCCCTTTTGTTAAAAAAAAAAACTATTTTAGATCGGGCACCTATTATTATTTTTTTCTTTTTTTTTTCGATTGGGAGGTATCCTGGTCAATTGACCAAACTAATCCCCCCAGGCTGGAAGAGCCCGCCCTTGCTCCTGAAGAGGAGGCTAAACTCTTTTATCAATTGAAAGTATTCAGACATAGCACTGAGATTAAACCCAAAGAATTAACACCTCAAATATTTCTTAACACGGAGAAAACCTTTTTATTAATTGAATGTATTTAGACATAGAAAAGAGATCAGATCCATCAAAAGTTTGCAATTGAAGTCAAAGCATTATAATAAGAATAACTATTAATCTAAAACTAGACGGGGGATCGATAAGTTTGTTATTTCCTTCCGGTTTGTAACAGGAAATTAAGGACTATGAGGTGAACTGATAAAGATTTGTACGTTTAGCTGTTTCATACTTAGACATGTCATAGGAATATTTTGCCATATCCATACAATTGTGACTTGACACATAAATGGAGGTCTCAAGCAGCCCTATGAAATCGAATCTTAATTCAAGAACCCACCGCATATATTGAGACTTGAAAGATCTTGGCCATATCATGGAACCTGCTGCTGTCACAATCTAGTTGCTGCATTTTTCATTTGTTTAGTACATTAATTGAAATCGATTTATTGGCTACAAGCAGGAAAATTCTGCTAAGAGAATAGTGAATATACCGCCATAGCTTTAAATAATCTAATTGAACCAGCCACAAAGGAACAATTGCAAGATGGAGCTGATGTCCACCGTCCACTCCAATTCAATTCACAAGGACTTGTAAAAAAGTTCCACTGGTTTACTTTGCAGAGCAAAACAGTTGTGCAAACACAAATGGAAAAAGCAAATCAAGAAGGAAAAAAAAAATTACATCCCATTATAATTTAGCTTGAATTCTGTTGTAAAATATGTTAAATGCGTATCTTCTCCTTTGCATTCCTTTTTGGCTGATTTCCAAGTTCAAGGATTATAGTACTTTTCTGTGCCTGGATTATATCCCTGTTGCTTCTCATATTCTTCCATGGAATCAAACTCATACTTGGACTTTTCACCGTTACCGTAGTAACCTTCAGCATTGCTATTTTCCTTCACTGATTCATACCCATTTTGATTCAGATTCTCATTGTTAACACCATAATAGTACTTACCATTATCCAAGAACCCTGTGTCACTCATTCCTTGTTTCTCATTCCTGTAGCTATTGCTATATCCATTGTTGTTATTGTAGACTGAATTCAAATAGCCATTGTTGTTGTAATTGTTGGAGTATCCATTATTGTTGTAGTTGTTGGAGTAGCCATTGTTGTTGTAATTGTTGGGGTAACCATTGGAGTATTGATTCCTGGCATTGTTTTTTGCAAGCCTTTCACTGTCGATTTCCTCAACCAGAATTTCATCTTCCTCATTGCCAAGGGTGGTGGCCGTGGTTGCGGTCATGGTCTTTTTTGTAGGCGAAACAGTAGAAACACCGCCATAAAGGCCATAGGGATAGTCAGTACTCTCAATTGGTGCTGGTGCTGGAGAAATTGATGGTGCTTGTACTGGTGCTTCCATTATAGGGACATGCTTGCTTACTCTAGCCTCAGCATGAACAGAGGAAAGAAGGAGAACAAGAAAGAGAATGGAGACATTTTTAGCCAGGGGAGCCATAATGGATAGATGGGAAATGGTTGAATTTGTTGTTTGGCTCTGAAATTTCAAGATCCCAAATGCATCCTTTTATAAATAGACAAAGTGCGGTATTCTTCCCTCCTTTTGGGCCGTCGAATGTGAGGAATATGGGATAGCTTTTGGGACATGCTGCATGTGGGATCCTTGAGAATATCTTTCACAATTGAGGCACCTAATCTTTGGCCAGGAAAAAAGTGTCATTAATTAGTCAAAAGCTGGCATTTTCTCATGGGATGCTTAAAGAGAAAGTGATCTTGCTCAAGCTTGCAACATCATAAAATAAAGAAAATGGCCCCTGTAGCCTATTTTGCAGTTGAGTTAGTTGAAAGGGCTTATAGCCTTGTACCATATGAAATATGCTTATATTAGCTTCCTTTTTCTAGAGAAAATTCCCCTGAAGCTACAAGACCTGAGAAGTAGCAAATCAATACATTAATTTTCACATGCACTTCCGGTGGCTCCATAAATTGGTCTGTTTAAGGGTGACTATCCAGTAATCTACCACATGAGAAGCCAAAGAAAATGGGACATGGCTAATGCACGAGAACGACTAGAGATAATGACCAAATTCATCATATGCAAATGCAACTGTAAAAGGTGAAAGTATTCTCCATCACCATGAAGGGCAATATAACATTTTTACTGCATTGGTATCACCAACTCTTTGGATTTAATCTGATAGTTGCTGCACTCATGAAAGTCTCATTTCCTTCTTTATTATTGGCAGAGGGAAATATTTTTCTTTCTCGAAAAACTATGCTGTAATAATAGTAGTGATCTTTCAGTTATCATTTGATTTTGATTTTTTTGGGGTAAGAATTTATATTGCTTGGTAAATTTAGTAGTTGTAATTAAATTTAGGTAAATCTTATGTACATTGACAATTTATATATTATCATAGTTGGATGCATGACACATGAGCAAATTTTGAATTGCAAATTTAAATTTAAATGAGTTGCCGTACATGCAGTAGTGATAGTTATACACTGTCAATGTATAAAAGATTAATCCATAAAGTTTTGGTGACAGAAATACTTACAATTTTTTCGAGAATCATTTGGTTAAAGACACCACTTGAAACTTTTTGTTTGTAAAGGCGAAGAAAGGACCATGGAGATCTTTGGACAAAAGCAAATTGGTTTTAGTAAGTACGTTAATACATGAATTTTCTTCTCGCTAAAATTAGCTCAGATTGTAGTTTCTATCTCAATTTAGCATTTCTCTTATCCTTCATGTTCGATTAAAACACACATGCTCATTTTTGCTTCTTTAACAAGATCGAAGCCAAGTTTGGAGTCAGATTCAATTTCTAAATTCATATTTTATTTTTATTAATATGTCAATGACTTCAATTTTCAAAAACAATAAAAACAAATGAAAACAAAGTGTGTGAAAAGATAATTAAATCCCATGTTTTTTGGGCAATTGCTGGGCCCAATACGACACAAAATCAGGAAGACCAATTCTTAATGTTCGTACCCAAAGTCCATCTGGTTTTCAACGAACCAAAAGAACGGAAATTGCGCTATTAAATATTCTTCGGGAGCTCCCGCGATGGTCGGAGTTGATTTGTGAAGTGGGTGTGCACTCTGGACTCTGGAGTCAAATCTACAATTTAATTAAAGTGTATGGGCTTCCTTCCTGGAATGGGCCGCTATCCATGCAGAATTTGGATATTACAGGTTCTACAAGAATCAAGATTGTAATCATGTAAATAAAATTTACTCCCTCCGTCTCAATTTGATAATCCTGATTTTGTTTTCACACAATTTAAGAAAAAATAGTTAACTTTATTGGGACAATCAATTTAGGTAACTATTTTTCTAAAATACCCTCACATTAATTAGAATACAACTTTATGGGAACTTGAATTGATTGTAAAAAAAGAATCAACTCTCATTAAATAGGGTAGGTTTATAGTCACAATAACTTACATTGAATAAGAGTATTTTAGAAAAATTAAAATACAACTGCATTTTTCAATTGGAAAGTGGACTACAATTTGAGACAGATAAAAAAGGAAAACAGGACTATCAAAGTCGGACAGGAGGGAGTATCTTCGAACTTACCCAAAAGTTAAGAAAATACATATTTTTGGAGCAAATTATCCGGTTGGTCACTAAACTTTTGCGATCGTCGAATTTTGGTCACTCAACTATTAAAAGTCTGGTTTTAGTCACTAAACTATATAAAGTTAAAACATGAGGCCATTCTGTTACATTTGGCCGTTAAGTTCGCAGATCTGTCTATCCGCGCGATTTCAAAGATAAAAGACGGGGTTAATTTAGGAAGTTCAAATGAATTAAAAGCTGATGAGCAAAGCGGGGACATAAATATAACTGGAACAAAGCATAAAATACGCAGTCAAATTGGGAGTTGAAGAAGCAAATAGTACAGATTACGAGGGCCTCCAAATCTAATGCTCGATCGAAGCTTTTCTCTTCATCCCCTTCAATCACCTCAACCACCTTCTCAAGTCGCCAGTCGAAGAAGGTGAAATCTCCCCTGCCGTGAGACTCTTGGTGTAGCAAGGAGATTCACCCGAAATTTGAATTTTAACCGATTGCACCGAACCCAGCTAGAAACAGATCTGCAATTGCTTTTGGACTATATGGTGAGTTTGATCACGTCAGAGGAGAAGGTGGAAACCTTGATGTCTTGCGCCAGAAAGATTGATTCCCATTTCTGACTTCTGTATGTGTGATTTCTTGATGGTTAAAAGGCTTTTGCATATTTTCCTAGCGAGTGATAGCGGGAAAAATAAGCTACTTGTAATTACCCGACCTTCTGTGTAATTTGGGCAAAAGTGTATATTAAGCTGAACGTGTTCTGCCCACTTGAACTGAGTATACTGTACACCGCTGGTAAGGGGCACCCCGCACAGGGTACAGGTGAACAAAGTTGATAGCATGCGCCCAATTATGGGTGAAAAGATGAACAAATTATTCAGAGTTAGCCCAAATTCCATTGATCAATACTACCTTATAATCAACTTGATACCATATTCAATTGTATGAATTTTTTGACTTCATATTCAAGGTGAATTCTATAAATAGAATTCCAAAATTTCCCCTATGGAAAAATCAATTCTTAATTAAGTTAGACTTCAGTCTGCACCCAAGTGCCATTCCAGACCCTATTAGTCTTCATGGGGGTTGCTGGGTGATTGAAGGTGAGAAATGGTCGGCAACAAAGTGGATTCATGTAGACAACTTCGACAAGATTTTGGGATCCACTGATAATTGCGCCCCTTCAATCACCTCAACCACCTTCTCAAGTTGCCAGTCGAAGAAGGTGAAATCTCCCCTGCTATCAGACTCTTGGTGTAGCAAGATGAATAACCCCAGATGCACTCCACAAGCATTTTTAAAGCTTGGGCTTCTCATATAATCTCCGTAGCCCGTGCCTGCACCATATGGGTCTGGGACAGGGAACAACAATCTCTTCTTTAGCAGATTCTGTTGCGGCCATGTAATTAGGCACCGCACTGGTCATGCCTCTGGATTGTTGGTGCAAGCCACCACCGCTGTACTGGTGGTAATTAGACCTTGGTGTTGGGGTTTGAGCTGTATGACCGCATCTTTCTTCCACTGCAGCATATCTAGGACTGGCGGAGCAGACTTGGAGAGGCCTTGTTTTGGACGGAGAAGGTGTGACAGGAGAGTGGAGAGATAGAGCTTGTTGGGTCGACCTATGAAGAGGGGAACAAGAGGTACAAGTGGATGTTGAACTTCCTATATTAACCTTGCCTTTTATCTTGGAAATCGCACAGACAGACATATCTGTGAACTTAACAGCCAAATGTAACAGAATGGGCTCGCATTTTAATTTTATACATTTTAGTGGCTAAAACCAGACTTTTAATAGTTGAGTGACCAAAACTCGACGATCGTAAAAGTTTAGTGGCCAACCGGATAATTTGCTCCATATTTTTGTGTGTTAATCCTATGGTAGATATGTCTCATAGCATACCAAGAAATGCCATGCGATAGTGTTTTTGTCGTGTAATGCACTTTAAAGTTTCACAACTCTTTCAAACGCCCTCCGAGAGACGGAGAGAGGGCACAAGTCCCTATTTCCATGAGTGAAGAACATCTGACTTCGTCTATTCTCACTCAAGAATCTAATAACACTAATTAGAAAGTAAAATTCACATGTGATATTAGGCTCATAAATACTAAGAATTGTTTATTCTGTATTGATTTGAAAGAGAAAGAATGAGTGCTTAATATACAAATAAGACTCGAAAACTGCTAGTTTAAACTTTTAAGTCAAAATTACACTCTTTAACTTATGTTGGACTTGTTTGATGAGCTCTCTCACATTTTTCTCTTCACTAGTGTCATCAGAGTTTTTTAGTTACGAATCTAGATTACTTATCTTCTTGGCATTAGTTTGATGAATTGGTCTCTTCTTGGTATTTATTGGAGTACTTCTAGTTAAGAGTCTAGACTACTTATTGATAAATGGTTTCTTCTTGATGAGGTGAATTGTTCTCTTATTGGTATTGAACTAAGATGCCAAATGTTTGGTGGGAGATCCTATTGATGTTGGACTAAGAAGTTAGGGGCTTCTTGATGTTAGACTAAGAAATTAAGGGCTTGGCAGGAGTTTGATATCCAATTTGGATGTTAAAAAAGAGGGGGTTTATGACTATGAGTTTGAGAAGTAATCTTGAATGTCAAGGAAGAGTTTGTGAATTTTGGTTCAAGGTAATGGACTATTCATGAAGAGAGAAATTGTTAGCTTCGTGATAAGGATAATTTGTCTCACATTGTTTTGAAAGAGTAACACAAAATGCTTAGTACATATGTAAGGGATTGAGACTTATTCATTTAAATATTTGAGTTAAAATTGAGCCTCTTTGCGAGCACTCTTAGGTTTTTTCTCTCCAATATATAGTTACTGAATTATTATTTTTTGAAAAAATGTATACCGCCTACATTTGCATCCTAAATGATCATACCTCAAATTTCAACAAAAGAACATTTGTTTCCCTAAAAAAGATGTCTCGTTTGAAAAAACACGAACGTTGAAAA